AGCTATTATTTTCAGCAAAACTTCCTCTAATAATTTTAATGTCCTAAAATCTGTGTTCTTAATGATAAATAGGAAAGAAGGCTTAATACTATCTCAATCTTTTTGTGATCCTTCACACATGTAGGCCTTCTCCAGGTAACCAGGCTCAATTTTTTTTTTTTTAAGGACCTAGGTAGAGAGGGTGTCAAAACCAGAGACTGATGGGAGTGGAGAGGGGAGCCTGATTTCCTCTGAGGGGACTGGCCGGGAATGTCAAGCAGGAAAGCTGCAAAGAGGGTAAAGCGGCAGAGGCAGAGCTTCCCTGTGGCCCTGCTATAGACTGATGGTTTGTGTCCCTTCAAAGTTCATAGGTTGAAACCTCATCCCAATGTGATAGTTGGAGGTGAGGCCTCTGGAAGGTGACTAGATTATGGGGTGGAGCCCTCACAAATGGGATTAGTGCCCTTTTTACAGGGGCCCCAGAAAGGTCCCTCATCTCTCCTACCATGTGAACAGTGATAGACAGCTGCCTATGAACTATGAAGTGGGCCTCACCAGACGGCTTATCTGCTGGCACCTTGATCTTGGACGCCCCAGCCCCCAGCACTGAGAAATAAATGCCAGATGTTTATAAGTCCCCACTCTGTGGAATTCTGCGTAGCAGCCGAGCGGACTCGGTGCCTTAGGATCTTGAGTCAAGTAAGAGTTCATAGTTCTGTACTGATGGCCAGGCCTTGGCTTCATGGTTGCTGACATGCACTAATAGAGCAAACCTATTTTTCTGTTCAAATCCTCTATAGCCTGAGATTAAGTTATATGTAAATAGCTTAAAAGTAGTCAAGCCTCCACAATGTCCAGCATACTGCTTAGCTATTGTTGGTTAATTCTAAAATTATAAAGGTTTTATACTTGACTCTCCTACTTCAAGGTATTGATAGACCTCAATACATTTGTTTGGGAAATCCGTTCTATACAAGTTCTCATTGACTCTCTTGGGTACTTATCCACTGTATTGAACACAGAATAATTTTTCATTCATTCAAAATGGAAATGCCCACTCTGTGCTGGACTCTGCTAGCCACTGAGGACACCATAGTGAACACAAATGGAATTTGTCTGTGCTTCCTCTGCCTCCTCTATTCTGCAGCCAACATTTGTATGAGCCCAAAGCTCCTTTGTTAGAAAGATATATATTTTAAAAAGGCTAAACAATTGTTAAGCTTTATTTAACTCGATCTTTATTTTAAATTCAGTTTATGTAATAAGAATGGGCAAACGGCTGAAGATCTTGCTTGGTCATATGGATTTCCAGAATGTGCCAAGTTCCTTACGGCAATTAAACGTATGCAGACAGAAAACCCAAGTGAACGATCCAATAGAGATCGCTGTGTTCCGGTGCTCAGACAGAAACGAAGTTTCGGAAGTGCAGAAAATACAAGTGGGAAAAGGAAGTGTTGGTAAGTAACTCAGTTTCTTCTTTCTTCCTTCCTTAAGGATCTCTTATTTGGCACAGAAATTACTGTTTCATTTAAATATTGGCAGTCTTATTCTAGTATGTCTTTCATTCTCATTAACACATTTTAAGATCAGTTATAGTAACTACTAGTAGATTCTAGAAACCAAAGATTGTCCTGCATAGTAGAAGGTTGGGGAGATAACCTGTTGAAAAAGATTTTAATGTTAACATGTTTTTTAACAACAGGTGACTTGGTTATGAGGAGGTGTGAAGAGGCCTTCACTTCGGGCAGATCTGCTGCTCAGCTACAAGCCATGGTTTTCGCTCATCAGGTGTCTAAATTCCTTCTAAGAAGGAGGAGAACTTTCTTCTAAGTGAAGATAACATTTATGAATGCATGTATTTACATGCCTACAATATTGTGGTTGTGCATACTTTGTCTATTAAGTTTTCAAAGGAATGTCTATAGACTAAATTCTTTTTGGTGTGTAGTATTTATAACCATTAGGAAAAAATCAAGGTTAAACCATCAAACTACACCCAGGATTTATTTGAAAATTAAACTTATTTTTTATTAACAAATTTATAATAAACTTTACTACAGTCTTTGAGTCCAAGATATCTATAATAATAAAAGTGTAATATGCAAATCGACTGAACGGCTGAACAGCAGAACGACCGTCCAGACGACCACACTATGACACCCACTGGCGCCAGGCCAGCTAAGGCAGGTGCAATGCGATTGGTCACCCACAGAAGGAGCACCAGGCCACCGACCAGTGGGTGGGCGGGGCTTCCTTCTGCGGGGGAGGAGGGGGCAATCCACCTTGGAGCCCCGCTGGTTCTGCGGGGTCTACCTCGCCAGACGACCACTATGACACCCACTGGCGCCAGGCCAGCTAAGGCAGGTGCAATGCGATTGGTCACCCACAGAAGGAGCACCAGGCCACCGACCAGTGGGCTGCAGTGGGTGGGCGGGGCCTCCTTCTGCGGGGGAGGAGAGGGCGC